TCTGCTGGTCTTACACTAAAACAGTATCAGTGTAAAGTAGAAGAGAAATGTCCTTTCTTTACACGGTACGTTTTCGCCCGTAAATCTGGTTCACATCTTCTGACTTCCTCCATCTGTTTATGCCTATTTGACGCGTGTGTCCAACTCTGGCTACCTTCTTTGTTTCTCTCTCTCTCTCTCTCTCTCTCTCTCTCTCTCTCGCTACCGCCTTGAAATTCAAACACAGCCTATATGTGATCCCACTGAAGACCTGATGAGCCATATGACAGTTTTCGTCACGTTTATTTTTAATTTACAAGTTGGATATTCATTCCATTTCTGACCAGAATCGGTAACAACCCATAAACCAATCGATCGCCTCTAGTTTTTGTTGAGTAGTTGACAGTTATAACTCCAAACTGTTTTGTTTATCAGAACTTTCACGAAAGTATCGTCAAGCCGGCAGTCAAATTTATCAGGCTGAATTTCGCGGAAATTTCTCCACGCCCTATCACTTGTAAGCATTGAATGAACCTTTTAAAAAAAATTCAATGAGCTGTGTGCAATTTTTCAGCATTCCGTGAAGCAGGGTACTGAATAAAGAGTACTTTTGAATCCTAAGTAAGTGTAGTCAGGTTGCAGCATGGAGATTCAGCTGTTTTGTCATCGTCCCGTCGAAATCGAATTCTGCTAGAACGGTGAAAGTGACAGAATTTATCGACGAAACTTTGTTTGCCCACCGCATATACCGAATCAGGGTTTTGCAAAATAAGGTGGGATGGAAACTTGTTAATCAATGGAGAACGGCTAACTCGTCCTAGTGATGCGGATGACATCATGCCATTTTGGCCAAAAGCAAAAGTAACTGAAGTTATGATAAATGAGCTATAATTAACGAGCGCGCGGGTCCAACTTTTCTATAAACAAACGGATAGAAGAAATTATGAGAATCGAATTCACTTAACAAACTATAGTCACAACACTGAATATGTGTATTTCTACGAAAGAGAGCTTAGGTCATTCACTCGATCAAAAGTTTGCTAGAAGACGT